TGGCCAATTGATTTGTTAAAATATGTTGAGTTTTACAACTAAAGTGAAGATTACATCCAAGATTCAGGGAGGTCAAAGCCCTTGGAAGTTGGGTGCAAATAAATAAGAAAATAAAATTATCGGGCGTAGAATTGGAGATTTTAGAGTGACAGACTAAAATCCCCAATTCGGTCCTATCGTTTGGGTGCTAAGTGTAGATGTTAGCCCTCAGGCGAGGGGAACGTGGGAGCTCCGAAGTGAGAGCCGGTATCCTCCCAACCTAGCCGCAGATTCAGTAAACAAGCGTAGGAATAGTCAATGTTCTTTATGTCTGGACCAAATGGTAGAGAATAAGTATGCTCCTATTTGGCACAATATAATTTGGACTGATTCACTTTATCCATTCACAATAATTTCTTGACAAGGAGGAGGATGCTTTCTTATATATTGAATATCACATTAAAAACTTCATTAGTACATTTAGTTATTTAATAGTTATTAAATTACATATTTAATTCAATTGTCTATTAGTGACAGATAAGCAAATTGATTTTCATTGTTGCGATAAAAAGTATTGCTTTTCCAAAATCTTAGTTCGTAGTTCTAAACCACTCCCTGTAGGATCGATATCTAGGACTCCATTAGAGCTCTATATTACTTCAACGATACGTGTACTTGCATTGATAAGTGTGACTTTACAATTATTGAATATTTATTACGTCCATATTTATCTTGTATTTTTAAGCATATATAAAGTCGCGGTCAGTATGCACATAAATAGAACTCCAACTAAATATTATCTAAATTTATTAAAAGCATATACTATTGCCAACACCGCTTGACCTTTCAAAATATGGGATATGATACTTTGTATTTGAATACGGCTTAAGAAACCCCCTTTGTAAGGGATATCCGGCGTCAACCAAAAAATACTTATTTGTTGTGTGGTGTTTGTTACAAATGAAAGTTCAAAATAAAATTAATTTCTCAAATATATGTACCTAGAGGAGGGTAAGGGAACTCATATACACGGTTTCTAGTAGCAAACTTGAAAACACGGCTATCGTGTGCGCTACCTTCCCATTCAGCCATCACGAAAGTAAAACACATATTAAAATCACACATGGCCATGACATTTTGTGTTGGGGATCCACACCGTCAGATGTAAGTGACTTTCTCTGCAGGAGACAACTGTGCATCGACATGTGTTCCGTCAATAGTTCCAATACAGTCCTGTGGTGCAGAAAATAGTTAAAATCAATTGTATATTTTTCTTGAAAATGAATACTATGTAGGGCACTTACTTTGAAGAATGGCATGTATTGAGGATCATTTGCAATTTGTGTGGGAATGGTCTGGAAAGTTGGATCCTCGGGTTTTACTATCCTATATGTCAAACTCACCAACGCATTCAAACCAATGGAAGAATATATACTAATGGTTTTCGAGGAATGTCGGAAGCGCTCCATAGCTCCTCTAACAGATTCATTTTGGGATAAGATATACAGGGTAATTGTCAATACTTCTCTGACAGTTGTTCTTGATGAGTTGTGTAATCCATGAAAATCCCAAAGTTAATTAAGCAAGTCGAGAAATATCACCTTCGTCATACGGAATATGTTTGCAAACCTTGTCGGGTGTCCACATAATAACTCCCCGACCCATTTTTCTCCAATCTGACTCGATGTCATACAAGGTGTTCGATCAACGTATGTATGATAGTAGTAGTATAGCAAGATGAGGGCGAGAGCGACTTTGCGGTTGTGGTTACGTTGTTCTTCATCCATTCTACAAATGTGGTAAATGATATTTTTTTTTTAAACATGTTAAACGTTAAATTGAAGTAACAGGAACTATACTACAACATGAGAAATGAACGAAGACATAAACATAAACTATAATGACACAAACAAAGAACTGTCTAAATGACTGGTACTAAAATGAATTACAAAAACATAAACTATAATTCACCACAATATTACCATAATATACCACTAATTCACACATGCAGATTTCACGCTTCTTGTGATAAAGGGATCAATTTTTAACACGAAAGAATTTATTTTTGGATGATTTTGATTGTCAAAACTCAACAAAAGATGATGAATATATCTGGAGTTTTGCAAGATTTAAGCTTTTGATGAACTTGCATTGATTTCATGATTTTGCGTGCAAATTTCTTAATAATAAGATATGGATGTTCGAATCTGAGGATGAGTAACTTTCAATTCTATTACAGAAAGTCCTCTGTGTTGCAAAAAAGCAAAAAAATTATTTTCATGGAAGATCATTTCTTGAGTGGCAAAGCAAGGATTGTAAAGATAAAATTATCCATTACAGATTTGTGTCAGCACTTGCAGATAATTTTTAACGAGCAAGGGAAGGAATTGGTTTTGCTGTCCAAACAATTTGTTGTTCGTGAAGTGCTCGTGTTCTATTTGTTTGCTAGGTAAATTAGTGAGAACGAACGAGTCAAACACAAACAAAGTTTTATTTGTTCGTATTCGGCTCGTTTGGGGATTGTTTTTACTCAAAATAAGTATTGTTTCTAAATAATTTAATTGACTGCAAGGCTGCAAATATTTATAATCAATTAAAAGTTTAATTAAAAAAATAGTGAATATTTATAAATTCTATTTAAATGGATAAAATAGTTTAATATAAATAATAAGATTTAAATAGCACTTTATATTTTTAATATTCTATGGTCGAGTTATTAGGGTTATCAAGACGGCTCGTTCTTCATGAACAACTCGTGTTTAGCTCGTTCAACAAATGAACCCAACACTAACAAATCGAAGACTAGCATGATATTCATTATCAAGCTCTATCCCTTCAGCATGTCTCCCATATAGTATTGGATTCAGCAAGTGGGAAGATCCACCGACCAATTACTGGTAGCTATTTTTTTCTCGTGAAAGATGGATTTCCTCCTTTGCCGATGTAGTCGTTATGGCGATGTGGAAGAGAAATGGAGAAAAGAAGCAATTTTATGTAGAATCCTGCCACAAAAAGCTTGAGTTATTTCTACATATCATCTTCTATTATGAAAAGTAACAAAGAAGGGACACACTTGAGGAGGACGACTATTGTTTTATATAATATGTATATATAGGACTTTTTTTGTACAAACTCCCCTTAGATTTCTAATTCACAACACAAAAGTCATGAATTTATACTCCACTAATTTTTTTTCCTTTTGTGTCCATGCCATATTAGTAATATATAATGAACATATTAAGCTACTATGGGTACCTTAGGTGTTTACATAATGATCTAGTAGGGCATATATGTAATTCATTCCAAAATCATATGAATTGTTTGATAATGTTTCAAGGGGTGCCCTTCTCCATAATTAAAGATGGCATCGATATGTGTAGCAAATATAAATTATATAAAATTAATTTCTAGATGCATTGGGATTGTCTTGATGTTTATTTAGAGTAAAAAATAGACTTGGAAGCTCAATAAAATCTTGATATAAATAGCATGTTTCAACTTTGTTTTAGTACCGCCAGCTGGCAGAGCAATTTCTTCGAAGGTCATAAATCTCCTCAGGTCACAAGTTCGAATCCCCATCTAGCCAATTTGCCAGTAGTGAGGGCAATCCTCGAATAGTTAACCACATGAGGGTGACTGGGGGCTCGTATAATAGCCTCCGGTCATTTCTTTTAATAAAAAAAAAAATCTTTATTAGTAATTATATATATGGCAATTGTTGTTGATGATGGGTCATATGGGCACCGCAAGAATTGAAAATTTACATTAGCCTTTGATGTAATGATATATGTTGATGATGCTCATCAATCTTATAGATAATGATGTCAGATGAATTTGGCGCACGATCATAAACAACGATGCTGCAAATATTGGTCAAGAAATTATTGTTCGATGATAATTATTAGAAAATTATAATCAGGCAATTGAGGGTGGGCCACATTAATCAGGTGATGATGTTCGGATGATCATAGTCAAGCGATAGAGTTGATGCATTCATAAAAATGCATTTGTGATCAATTACGTGTAACAAATAACAATGGCCGAGCAATTATAGCTGGCCAATTGAAGTTGAGTGGTCATAATTGAGCAAAAATAATGAGTTCTGAAGGAAAGTTATTGTGAAAATAATCTCATTAGTTTATTGAGCCTGGTTCAATGGCAACTCAGAGCTACAGAAATGGAAATATGAGTGTTGAAAGAATATTATTGTGATTTTTTTTTAGGATTTTGAAAATGTTTAGGTGTTATAAACAAAAAATTTTTCTGTGCGGACTCCTGACGTAGCACTACGCGTGGACCAAATTATTTCTAAGTTATTTTCAGGTTATTTTTAATAATACCGAAATAACCCAGAAATACCCCAAAAATAAAGACCGTGGGTTATTTCTGGGTTATTTCGCTATTATTGAAAATAACCCAGAAATGACCTGAAAATAACTTAAGAATAACCTACGCCGCACGTAAAGCTACGTCAGGAGTCCGGACAGAAAAAGAGCTTGTTATAAACATACAGATTTTGATGTTGTAGATGTGTAATATGAAAATCCCTATTTTTATGATGCTTACATTAATATATAGTTAGATTAATAAGCTACCGGATGTACCTTATGCTTTTATATTATTTAGCTCCTAATATGTAACCTCTTGTATTCAAAACATTAAGCAGATGTAGGCGCACAATGAATCAAATATTAATTTGAGCATCATTCCACTCATGGATGTTCCAAACAATATAAATAATTATGAGAAATTATAAAAATGTTAAATTGCATTCCAAACAATATAAATAATTATGAGAAATTATAAATCTTTTTCACACGCATATATTACAAAAGTCACTTTATTATCAACCAAACATAATCAAATATATTTAGTGTCTGTTTGGGGCAGCTATAACTTATTGAATAATCTGCCGATAAGCTGATTAAAAATAATTTGCTGATAAGCTAGGTGTGGTGGCTATTATAATTTTTTATTTTTTTGGAAAAGTCAGACCTTTGCCAATAAGCTCTCACCGCACCTAGATAGGTGGGGTGTGAAAACACTGTTTTCTGCATTTTGAAAACGCATAAGCTGCCAAAACGCAGTTTACCCAAACAGGTCAGGTGCGTTTTCAAAATGCCACTGCACTAAATAAGCTGCCCCAAACAGACCCTTAGTCTATGAGCAGAATTTTTGTTCAATGATGCTAGTCAAATATTTTGGCAAAACTAAGAAAAAAGTCTTTCAAGTCCTTCAGAAAATTAATAAAACTGATTGAAGAATTTTTTAAATTCATCTTGGCCAAAATTATCTCATATTTTATAGCTTCAGAGTCTGTCTGAGACAACTACATATATGTTTGGGACGATTACAACTATTTGAAGCAGCTATGAAGTTGTTCCAGATGACAGCTATAAAGTTGTTCAAGAAGAAGTTGTTGTTTAGAAAACTGTAACGGTGGAAGCAGAAATAGGTTGTGGAGCTGGCACGGAATGCTTGGATGTCGAATTGGATGCTAGAGGATTAGAAGCAGCGGCATTATGCCCGTTAATGGGACCCTAATCTTCGTCCCATGAAGTCGTCTTCTTCGCAGACTGAATGGGTCCGGCTTGTTTCTGATATGGCTCCAAAGGGAGTTCGTTTTACAATGAAGGAGAGACTCTTGGCTCCGAGCTTCCATACTCGTTTAAAGTCACGCCTCTCTTTTCTTCAATCTTTCTGGGAAGATCACAGCACAATTAAACCAATTCAACAGAGTGAGGCCCAGCAATACAAGACAAATTTGGGAGATTTACATGCATATCACCTAATTCCTATCTATTTACAATATTGAACACCTAAACTTTACTTTTTTTAGATTTACACCACTAAAGACATTCACATCACATCAAAAGTACCACTTTTTAACATTTAAAAAGTGAAATACACCTTTTTCATGAATGTCCGATTAAAAATCAAGAGATTATCAAAATTTAATTAAATGATTGGTTAGAGTGGAATAGATGGTTCACCTGTTTATAAATTGCATGGGAAACTCCAAGAGTACACATTAGAGTTGGTGCAGAGCGGTCCACAGCAGTGCAACGTTGCATAGTTTGCAAAATGTCCAACACAGCTATTCTGTCAAGAGATGGAAACAAATCACCCAAGCAACGAAAAGCATTCAAGAAGTGCGGAACTTATTAGAAGGTACAGGGAGGTTACAGAGCATATAACTCGATTATAATCTCCTAAAATCCTCCATGTAACCTGTTTGCAGGTTACAGACGTACGTAACTTTGTGTACGTCTTATGTACGCAATTTTTTTCCGTCATAGTGACATTTTTTTCCGTTGTGGGGGGGGTGGGCTTTTACATGCATACCATACAATTCTTATGTATTTACATATCTAACACCTAAACTTTACCTTTTTATAATTATACCGCCTAAATCTTTCACACCACAAAAAAATACCACCATTTTAACTTAAAAAAAAAAGTAAAATACACCTTTTCATGCAAACATAAAGTGTTGTGTACGGAAAAAAATTGAAGTATAGGTGTTAGATATGTAAATACATAGGAATTGAGTGGTATGTATGCAAATCTTCCTTTTTACTTTTTCCATTCCATCTCTCGTAAGCACAACAACAGAATGGAGCGGAAAAGTAGATATCTTCCAAGGAAACAGCTGCCACAACAAAATATAAAATGAAAGCACAAGTGCCACTGAGAAGAGAGAAGAAAGAGCGAGCAATATTTATCATACATAAAACCTACACATTCATATTTTATGCATACCAATCAAATATTTAACATCATATCAAAAATACGACCATCAATATCTTTTTAAAAGTGAAATACACCTTTTTCATGAATAGGTTTATGACACATAGGTGTTATAAATGCAAATATATACATAAGAATTATGTGATATGTATGTAACTTTCACTAAAAAATTTCTTTTGTTTTCTTATTTCACTCTTCTTAGTGCTCCAAGATTGCCTAATTCCCATTAATTGTTATCATCTTAGTTCAACAAGACAAATCAAAGCATGGATGAACTACTACATTCTTAGTTTCTCTGCTTTTAAAAGAAAGCAATGCATGTAAAATAACGCCTAAGGTAGTTGGTAGGATGAAAGAAGGTTTACTTTGCTGATAATCCCTTTAATCCGGGAGAAAGTAAGAATTTTTGCTTTGTTGAGTAAGAAAATAAATGCAGAACGAATGTGTCAAAAAAAAATTACTAGTTTCTTTAATAGAAGCACAAATATAACTATCTTCAGCTATTCCATTAATGTATACATATAAAACCAATATAAGCACAACATCATGAGCAATCCCATACATAAATAAGAGAAAAAAGCTAACAATGTGAAAAAATTAGCAAACGCATGTAAATTCATGGAAGTCATAAAGTGCACAAGGAAGAGAGAGAGAGAGAGAGAGAGAGAGAGAGAGAGAGAGAGAGAGAGAGAGAGAGAGGGGGGGGGAGAGAGGGAGTGAGGAGATAAAAAGAGAGAGAATTAAGAAAAAACAGCTAAGTGTTGGAGTGGCAGAAACCAACAGATGGTTCTAACACAACAGATCCTCCACATTGCCCAATCATTGCATCAACTTCATACAATGTGCCGTATGCAGATGTTAGTGACACGGGAGCTTTTTGATACTCCCCGGGCCAAAATCAGTGAGCACACCACAATGAAACGACAAGAGAAAGAAGGAAAAACTCAAACGAGGGCTGCTCTTATAAAAAATAAATGGAAATAAGCAAGATAAAATTATGATATACTTTTCGAGAGGTAGATCGGCTCTGTCACAACCCTAGACATCGCTAGGAACACCACCAAAAAGAAAAAACACAGCAACCACCAAAATACATGCATGAAAGAAAACAAACCCTAGGTTCCCCCCTTAATAGAAACCTCACACAACATTTGAAAGCTTTCCTTTCCCACTTTCCCTCCAAACCTCCTTTAATTTCTCCTCTTTAATTCCATTAGAGCCCCACCCCCTCCTTTTCTTCTTCTGCGACCAGCCTAGACCCCTCCGCCTCTTCACGTGGCAATGACCAACCCGCCCGTGAGCTTGCTGGTTTGCATTCGGTGGGGCCATCCTGGACTGACATATATTTGGGCGTAAAACTACTCCCCTCCCAAAAAGTATCTTGTCCTCAAGGTGGAAGGATGGAAATGATTGTGGATCACCTCATAAGGCTCTCATGTTGCTTCGTAGTCTGGCAGCCATTTCCACTTAACTAATATCTCCTTCGCACCGTTACTCCTCGGCGCACTCCTTAGATCTCTAACAACTGAAGAATCACCTCCAAGTCCTTTGTCAACATCGACAGTAGTGTAGATGATGGTATAGGATTCCCAATCGCACGTCTCAGCTATGATATATGGAAGACCAGGTGTAGTGCAGACGATGATGGTAACCTCAAATGGTAGATCACTGCTCTGATGCATGTCATCACCTCATATGGCTCAAAAAATCTCGTGAAAGGTTCTCACTCCTCTTCTTGGCCAATGTCTTCTGTCGGTAGGGCATTAGGTTTAAGTAGACCATGTCCCATGGTTCAAATTATGCCTCTCTCTTGTGTTTATTTGTTTTCCTCTTCATGATTTGTTGAGCCCTCAAAAGATGCTCCTTGAGCTCTGTTAATATCCTATCCCTCTCCTCCAAGTACTGATCGACACTAAATACACGTGTAGCACCATGCCCATAATGTATCATGTGAGGAGGATCTTGCCCATACAATATCTTGAAAAGAGTGGTTTGTGTTGCGGTGTGGTACGAACTATTATATCAATATTCGACCTACACAGTCCACTTGGCCATAGTTTCAACGTATTGAATACAAAACAACGCAAGTATGTCTCCACACTCATATTGACCACCTCTATCTACCCAATAATCTAGAGATGATATGCAGTTCTCCTCTTAAAAATTGTCCCTTGCAACCTGAATAGATCTTTCCTTGAAGTAGCTAAGGAACACCTTGTCTCTATCTGAAAGAATTGATTCTGGTACTCCGTGCAAACAACCCACTCTCGGATAAACACCGATACAATCGAGACTGTGGTGTAAAGATGTCGTAAGGGAATGAAATGGGCATACTTATGCAAGCGGTCGACGACCACCATGATCACCGTGAACCCTTCTGACCGTGACAATCCCTCGATGAAATCCATCATAACTTCTTCCCAAACCTTCCCCGGTAAAGCTAATGGTTGTAGTAACTCTCCCAGTGTTGTGGTCAAGTACTTGTGTCGCTGACATACATCGCATTTTGCCACCATATCCTCGATGTCTCTGCGCATCCCCAACCAATAAATTTCTGCTGCCATAAGACTGTAGGTTTTCTACACCCCTGAGTGCCCCACAATCGCACTAGCATAAAACTCCTGTAATAATCTGGGAATATACTCTGAAGACTTGGGTAGCAGGCATCCTATCTGGGAATAATGGCGATCTACATTTCTGTTGGTTTATATCAGAGATCGGCTTTAAGCCCGAATCTTTTTGCATTAATTATGGATGGTCTTACTAGACAGTTAAAGGAGGATCTACCTTGGTGAATGTTTTCTCTTGATGATATCCTCTCATGGAAAAGACGAGAGAAAAAACTTGAATTATAATGGTTTACCTTGGAGTCTAAAGGCCTTTGTTTAAGTAGAACTAAAACTGAATATATGGAATGCAATTTTAGTAGTACTAGCTCTAGTGACAAAAATGCAACAATGGGTGATCAAAATTATTAAAAGTTGTGAACTCTTTTGATATATTGGGTATATTTTTCAAGTGATGGTGATATTTATTAGTATAATTTAAGTTGGTTATTTGAAGTGGAGGAATGTTTTGGGCTTATTGTGTGATAGAAAAGTACTGCTTAGACCGAAAGGAAAATTTTATAAGATGGTGAGACCTGCATTGCTCTATGAAGCTGAATGTTGGCCTTTAAAAGAGAAGCATAAAACTAAGTTTAAGTGTTGTCGTGATGAAAATGATTAGGTGGATGAGTGGTTTTCTCTTAGAGACAAAATGCAAAATGAATATATCTGAGATAGGATTGGTGTAGCTCCACTGAAGGACAAAATTAGAGAGAGTCGTCTTAGATGGTTTGGTCACATTAAACATCGACAATCTGATGATCTGATTATAAGAGTAGATGTTTTAGATTTGACTTATACTAAGGAAGGCAGAGGTAGACCTAGGAAGACTTGGGAATATCATATAAAAACTGATCTTAATTTATTAGAATTAAATGAAAATATGGCACTAAATAGGACGCAATGGAGGAAAATGATTCATGTAGTCGACCCCACTTAGTGATCGACCCCACTTAGTGAGAACTTAGTGAGATAAAGGTTTTGTTATTATTGTTGTTGTTGCTGCTTGGGTAGTAAGAATCGCCCTTGGTGGAGCTGTTGTTGCCCCCTCAATGCATATCCTAGATGACTGTTCAGATCCTGTAGTAACTCAACCCTTATCTTCTTCAACTCCTTATTTTTTCACTCTCCAATCTTAGGGGTTCCCAATTTAGGACCAATGATATCGATAGAGTCGTCAATTGGGGTTCCTCCACCATTCTTGACAGTACGTTCGCTGTATTATTTTCTAATCTTGGCTGGTACTGAATGTCAAAATCATACCCCAGTAGCTTGGATAGCCATCTCTGATGCTTCTCAGTCACCATCCACTTCTCCATAAGATACTTTAAACTCCTCTGATCTGTTATGACCAAAAAATATCATCCCAAAAGGTAGGGTCGCCGCTTCTAAATGGCCAAGACTATCACCATCAATTCCCATTTATATACTGACTTTTGCCTTGCTTTGACCATAAGAACCTAGCTAAAGTAGGCAATCAACCGCTAATTCTGCATGAGTATTGCTCCCAATCCGTACGCTGATGCATTGGTTTCCACCACAAATGGTTTACTGAAATTTAAAAGTGCTAATACTGTGACGCTAGTCATGTCTCTCCTTAGATGTTCAAATAAACGTGTCGCTGCTTTCCCCCATTTGCCCATTTGAAATTATCTTTCTTCAACGGCTCCTTCAGTGACCATGTTATCCTACCATATCCTCTCCTGAACCTACCATATCCTCTCATGAACTTCCAGTAGTAGCCGGTGAGACCCAGGAATCCTCTCAACTCCATCAAACTCCTTGGTAAGGGTCAATCAACTATAGCCTCGATCTTGGATTGATCCACTGCTACCCCCGTTTTGGTCACCACATGTCCTGAGTATTGATCCATTGCTACCCCCGTTTTGGTCACCACATGTCCTGAGTATTCTACCTGTAACTATGAAAAAGAACATTTTTCAAGTTGGAATATAGCTGGTGCTACCTCAACATCTCCAAGCCTATCCTAATGTGCTCCACATGCTCTTTTTGTACAACTGTAGAACAAAATATCTTAAAGAAACCATAATAAATTTCAGGAGATAAGGTTGAAAAACCCTATTCATGAGGGATTGAAATGACATCGGGGCGTTAGTGAGACCAAACGACATCACTAAGAACTCATAATGTCCTTTATGTGTCATGAATGTTAACTTGTGCACATCCGCTGGATTCATCGTAATCAAGTGGTACCCTGATAAGTTCATTTTTTGACGAAATGACTACGCCATAAAGCTCATCCAATAACCCATCAATTACAGGAATAGGAAACTTGTCTAACATTGTTTCCTTGTTCAAAGCCCGGTAGTCTACGCAGAATCACCAACTATCATCATTTTGCTTCACCAACAGGACGAGATTAGAAAAATGGCTCAAACTAGGCCTGATAATCCTAGCCTCGAGCATCTCTCAGATCAATTTCTCTATCTAATTCTTATGAATATGAGGGTACCAGTATAGTCTCATGCTGATGGGAGAAACACCCTCTTTCAATGTAATAGCTTGCTCATGCTCTGTCGGAGGAGATAACTTGTTTGGCTATTAGAATACATCCATAAACTGTTGTAGGAGTTGTTGGACTCCTTTCGGAAACTCTGTCAATGCTCTGCAACTCCACAAAGCAATCAACTCGACCATGGTTTTGAGCGACATCATGGTTTTCAACGACAACATAGTTTTGCATAACTAGCATCTCCCTCAACATCACATTCCTACCCTCCACTTGGAACTCTATCTTCAATGACTTCCAATCCACCTTCATCTCCCCTAATGTCTGTAGCCACTCCAACCCCAAAATCACATATGTGCTGCCCATATATAAAAGAAGTTTTCCCTTGCAAGTTCTCTGCTATTCTCCACCTTCTCTGTCTCTATCATGATGCTAAAGCTCTCTGTAGTCACCAGCTCCAACCCCAGCTTCTTCACGACCTAATTTTAGATCATGTTATGTGTGGCCCCACTATCTTCCAATACCACAATTGATTGTTTCTCGATCCACCCCATCACCTTCATGGTGTGATTTGTGGTAAATCTCACAACCAAATTGAGTGACATCTCCACAACATCCAAATGCAGATGCTTCTCCTTCACCGCATTGTCTTGTAATTCCTCACTGTTCGTATCCTCCACCTGAACTAAGAGAATCTGAAGGGTGTGTTCCTTGCAAATGTCCTGCGGTGTAACTCTTGTCACAGCCGTAACACAATCCATTTGCCCTTTTATCCTACACTTATGCATCTGCGAAGTGCTTGAAATTACCTCTGGGATGGGGTTTCACACTCTTCTCCTTCATTGTCTCTTTTTGAAAATATACCGTTTGGGTCCTCAGTGTTGTGGCTATCAAGGTGCTCCGGTATTATCCCCCATCATCAACTCGAGCTCCATCATTTCCCTTAACTGTCACAATCTCTGTATAAGCCTCCGGTATTATCCCCCATCATCAAATCGAGCTCCATCATTTCCCTTAACTGTCACAATCTCAAGGGGCAAAATGACAGCTTGTATGTCGAGCTTTATGCCTTTCAAGAAGTTCCCTTCTAGCACTGCTGTAGAAGTCCACCTCAACCTCCCTGACAAGAGCTCGAACTTCTCCTGGTATTCCGTAATCGTACCCTCTTGAACTAGAGCATAAAATTGCTCATGTAGTTTTTCTTCCCGAATGGCTCGAAAATGCTTCAATAAGCAATCTTTAAACTACTCCCAATACTGCATCGAATATCTTGCCTCCATCAACTAAAAACATGCTAATGTCTTTCCCACCAAGCATAAAAATTATAGTTAACATAATTTAATAATTAATAAATTAATATAGTTAATTATTTAATAATAAATATAACATAATTTAATTTTTTTTATAAATTTTGTTCATAAATTAAATTACTATAAAAAATTTAATATGCAATTATAATATTTATTATTTATTTATGATATTTATAAAATATTATAATAATATATTTAATTTTATATTAAATATTTAATTTTATAATAAATATTTAATTTAAAAATAATTTTATTACATCTATTAGCTATAAAAATGAATATTTATTTATTTAAAATTGTACTAAAAATTAAAATATTTTCTTATTGTAGATAAATTTAATACTATAAATATAAATTATATATTTAAATTATTATTTTGTATTAAATAATTA